TGGCTTGCCTGGCTCCCAGGGTGCAGTCCTTATCTGTCAGGGCTAGGGCTGGCATCATAGATGAATAGTCTGTGTAGTCGTGACAGGCTCAATGCCCAGAATTCCACACTTGGTTTACTTGCCCTGCTGTTGCCTCTTTAAATTACAGTCATACATTGCTTCTTAACAGCAGTATACTCTGAAAAATGTATCTTTGGCTGATATTGCTGTATGAACACCACGGAGTACACTCACACAAACTTAGATGGTATAGCTTACTATCCGTTGCTCCAGACTACAAGCCTGTACAGCTTGTTATGACACAGAATACTGTGCGCAACTACACCAGTGGTATTTGTACATCTAAACAGAAAAGGTGTAGTAAAAGTACTAGGAGTTAAATCTGTTGCTCCAGACTACAAGCCTGTACAGCTTGTTATGATACAGAATACTGTGGGCAACTACACCAGTGGTATTTGTACATCTAAACAGAAAAGGTGTAGTAAAAGTACTAGGAGTTAAGAAATTTTCAGATCCATTATAATCTTAGGGAACCACCGTCATATATGTGGTCCAATACTGACCAAAACACTAATTTTTTTTAAAACAAGGGCCTTTCATAGTACTTTCATTTTGCACTGGACCCCACAAGTTAGGTAACTGGTCTTAGCCAGAGACCTAGAGGCCAAGCTGTTCATCTCCATCCCCTCCATATTCAAATGATGAGGGTTGATTTCCAGGTCCAGCTCTTTCTGGGAGCGCAAACTGTGCTTTAATCATCACTTCCCCCTCCTGGGCAATAGCAGAGCATGCAAATCCACTCTCCTGGTTATAGATGTTGTTCTGCTGTTCCATCCAAGTCCCCTTGCAATAAAGAGAACGGACCCTCTTCACCCAGGAATTTTCTCTACTTCCCCAAGTCATTGATTGAAGAAAGGTACAAAAGACTGGTCTGATTGTAGTGTGATTTATGGTCTAGAACCCCTCCCTGTGGACCCAGCTAGTGCTGGGCTTTGAGACTTGGTCCCTGCTCAGTGTTTTCCTTTTCCCTCTTCTGCTTCAACACTTCTTTTACAAATCTTTCCTAAAGTGCACTTCTCAAAGATCACCCAATGCTCTCAAGCTCTGCTTCTAAGACAATGGGCTTAACTTATAGATCTTAACACAAGAGCACCAGATTCTCAAAAGAATAAATTCTACCACTTGGTCTGTCACAAACTTATTTTAGGCAAGTCACTCAAGTCCTCTGGTGACAGACAAGATAGTTCCTGATGACACTCCAGGCCAAATCTGCCCCTGCCGTATTCCTCTACCCAACTGCCAAGCCAGTCACAAAAGGGTAGGAAGTTGGGCCAAGGAAGGAACACTTTTCAATGGAAAAACATTGAAAGCCACCCTACCTAATCTCTCCAACTTTATTATAGGACATGTTAGGGTCAGGGGAGGGAAGTGGAAGAGAGACGACAAAAGTGTAGCTGGGGACCCTTCCCTGGCTGGGGAGGAGTGGAGACATCAGATGGAGAAGATTCAGAAAGTTCAGGTTCAGGGGTTTAGCTCAGTGGTGCTGAAGCCATGGAGTCAGCCCTCTGGGAGCCGCAGAATGGAGGGTAGAGGCTCAGTTGAGGCTGGTGGAGGTACTGAGGCAGACGCAGGTACCCTCCTTCCTGTAAGGGGCAAGAAGTACCATCTCCCAGAAGGACACAAAGAACATGGCTGAGGTCAGGGCTCAGGCCCAGTCTGGAGCTCAGAGGGGAATGAATGAGGCATGATTTTCACCTCAGTGCAAACAGGCAGGGGAAGAAGTGGGGGTGTGGTGCCAAATGAAACACCCCAAAATCAAGACAAGCTTGTGAAGTTACATGTGGAAGCGAGTCTTAACTCTAGCGCTGAGTGACCTTGGTCACTTTGCCTCCCTGAAGACTCATTTCTTTATGAGGATTTAATGAGAAACTACCTGTAATTTTAGCAGTGACTGAGGCACAGAAGGCTGTTGGTAACCTGCTTCTATTGTTACACCTAGTACCCAATGAAGAACAGGACTGGCTAAGGGTGGCTCGTCATGGGGACACCCAGGGTGGCAGGACTCAGCAGATGTGAGGACAAGCCTGCCTTCTCCCTCTGTCAGGTTTAAGATGGAGCCCCTTTTGGGAGAGGGGGTGGGGAAGAGTCAAGCATGTGAAGGAAAGGCTGACTTCAAGGCCGTCATGAGGAAAGCCCAAAGACACCTACTGGGCCTACACAGACAGGACAGAGCTGGGGGTTCTGTACACTCGTTCTCTGGACTGTTTTTAAAAATCTAGAAGAGGAGATGGAAGAGGAGAATACTGCTTCCCCTCTGTGCAACCGCAAAGGCATCAAGCTGGATCCATCTAGGATTTCAGATCCAGCCATCATGGGGCTGCTGCTCAGGGAGCCACTGCTCTCTTCTTTCTCCTCAGCACTGTGGTTATAAAAACACCTACAAAATATGAGAAAATTCACATAACACTTTTCTGCATGTATAAAAAGGAGGCTGGCCATGGTCATGGCTAAGGACGTGGACAAAGGCCCCAAGAGTGGCCAAGGAGAGTTGGCAGGTGCCCCACGGTGGACAGGCTGGTCTGGGGTGCTCCTGGTGTCAGGGGCAGTGCTGGCTCTGGTGCAGGCTGTTCTTTGGCTGGGCTGCACTTCCATGGAGTCAGGGACTGAGAAGGAGGTCAGGACTCCCTGGCTCCCGCAGTTCTGCTATGACCTCTACTAGGGCAGGTGGGGGGAGTGCCCTCGCCCTGGGCCTCAGGGCCCCTCAGTGGGTCCTTCCTAATGGCAGAGGCCTACTTCTCAGGAAATGTCCCAGGCCCCGAAACAGACTTGGGGGCCCGGCACAAGGCCCTCTGAACCATCTAGGAGCAGCTGGGGTACAGCGCCGTTCCACACTGGCAGAGGCTCTGCACAAAGAAAGCTGTCACCCGCTGAGACTGACCCAGGCTGGGGATATCAGAGGACAGCAGCTGGGGTATGGCTAGCAAGGACAGCTCTGTGTAGACATGAGAGGTTCCAGCCCCCAGCTCCTTCATGTTTCCTTCTGGAAAGAGTCAAAGCCAGGAGTCGGGTGACCCTGTCCTGGTGGATCTTGAGTAGCTTCCGGAGCCAGCTGGGTAGGAAAGGACTGGGGGGCCACAGGGCTCACAGTTCATCCTGAGAGTCTAAGCCCCTCCTGTCTATCTCCCATCATCAGAGCTGCCTGGCCACCCTCAGTTGACCTCAGGCCCTGTGAGGCAGCCTAGGGTGGGGAGGGATTAGGAGCTTCTCCAGCCTGAGATGGCTGAGGCCCACTGAGGCCCGGCGACATACTAGGACTTGAGTAGGGGCAGGCCGCGCCGGAGTCCCTCTTTCAGGAACTGCATGTAGGTGGCTGTGGATGGGTCTTCAAAGGTAGATGAAAAGCTGAAGATGTTGTCTTTGATGTCCTCAGGCTTCATGGAGGTGATGTCCAGGAAGTAGTTGGCATTGATGTGGTGGACCTGGGAGAAGAGCTGGGTGAAGAGAGCCAGGGAGGCCCCAGGCTCACTGTCTGGGGAGGAGCGGCTACTCTCAGGCCTCCACAGTCCTCGCTCTGGGAGGCACTTTCCACAACTTGCCCCAGGCCAGGTTGTTCCGCCCCTGTTCACACAGGGCCTCTGGCTACAGATCTATCCCCAGCCTGTCTACTAGGCAGAAGCCTAACATCTTTCAGGGTCACCTTTTCCACAATCCTTCTTCCCCTACCTGTTCCTCACAATGGCCTCTCACCTCTCTGCTGCTGTGACCCCTGGACTCCACACTCACTTCTATCAATGTCTAGCACATGATGGGTTTCCCTCCCAACCCATGGCTCTAGCCAGTGGCTGCCTTGAGGGCAAAGCTGTGCCTTTATCTTTGTGTACAGAGCCAGGCACTGAAAAGATGCCCAGGAAGCAAACAAGTAAGCAAGGGACTGGATGGGCGAAAACTAACAGATGAGTGAGAGAGCACGCTCCACAGAGTCCCCTAGGCAGTTCCGCCTGTCCGTCTCCGGAGCCCCGGCCTGCATGGGCACCACAGGACAGAAGCCAGTGATACCTGCGAGTCGCCTGGCTCCCCCGTGCCTCTCCTCCCTGTTCTCCCCGTCTCCAGAGCCCTTTGCACCTGGGACAGCAGAAGCCTCCTGCCTGCTGCCTTTCCTGTCCCCAAGCCCTCCCTGAATGCCTTGGCCACCCAGATGCTCCTACTCTAAGCTCTCAAGGTAGCAAACTGCCTTTGGGATTACAGGGTAAGGCTGGCTTCCCTCTAGGACCTAGAGGTTCAGTGGGCACATGCAAGCCCGCTGAAAAGCCAGTTGTACTTCTCTGCCTGCCAAGTCTCTGAACCTTTTGAGCCTCACTTTCCTTGTACATCAAATGGGCATCAATGATCACCTGACTCTTGACACTGTTGTGAGGACCCAATGAGGAGATGTGGGTGAGTCTGGAAAAGGGGCTCCTCAGGAAAGGCAGGGTCTGGAAGCCCGGCTCTAGCCAGGCACCACGTCCCCATCCCGGTCTTCTCTGCCTGCCACAAAGTCCCATTTCTCCCTGTGCCAACCCAGGCTGGCTGTCATGGTCCCTGGGAAGCCTTCCTTCCAGGCCATGCTTCTGTCCCACTGGACGATCTGTTATACCCAAGTCACTGACTCTACTACTGTGTGGTCCCCAGAGTGATGCTGGATCCTGCTTCTAGTGGCGGGGCCCCAACACCTGCAATGCCATTTGTAAGGCACCTGCTGTCTGTGTCCCTTACTTCTGGCCCCTGTGCCTCTTGGTACCTACCACAGTGCCGTTGGGCAGACAGATCATCATCTCCACGGGGAAGCTGTATTTCTCCAGGTGCAGGCCCGCCAGCTGCCTGTGCGATGGGTTCTCTAGGTTACCCTGTAGGGACAGTCAGCACACTCCTGGTACCTCAGCCCCTGGCACTGTCCCTGGGGCCTTCAGGGGCTGTTCCTGCCCACTCACCTGAAGGTCCTCCAGCTCCTTCACCAGGGACCAGGTGCTGATGAAGCTCTCATTGAGAAGGGTGAGGATGGGCGAACTTTCCAGGACAGTCTCCCGGAGAGTCCGCCCCGAACCTGTTCAGGGAGAGGCCGAGGCCAGAGCGTGAGATGCCCCACGTGTCCTACTGGGGCTTCCAATCAGCAACGGTCTTGCTTTGGGCAAAACTCTTGGTCTGCAGAATGGTTTCTGCACCCAGGTAAAGTAACAGATTCAAGTAACACACCAGCTTCCTGGGCTGAGATTCGGTGTGGGGATTTCTACCTGGCCCAGTGATTTATGGACACTGACAGTTTCTCAAATCCACCGAACTCTGTGCCTTTGCACGAAGACTGTTCCTCTACCCAGAGCCCTCTTTTTCCCATTGGGTGACAAATTCTTACTCATCCTTCAAAATCTCAGCTTCAATGACACTTTCTCTAAGAAGCTGTCCCTGGCCCCCAGCTACAAAGTCACACCACACTGGCCTTGACTCATAGGGTACTCGCCATAGTGGGACTTATTCATTCCACATCTGCCTCTGCACCTTCCTAGTTTACTGCGTGGCAGAGCAGGTACCCAGAGCCAAATGAGGGCAGGGGCATCATTTGACTCACTTATTTTCTCTCCCACTTGTGGATACCACTTAATAGGGCACAGGGTAGTTTCACATCCATTCTCACAACTCCGGGGGCTAAGTATGTCAGCCCCTGTCACTGCAGAGAAAGCAGGCTTAGGGAGCAGAAGTTACTTGGGCAAAGTCACCAAATTGAAAATGGCTGAGTCTGAGTCTGGTCTGCCAGGGCCTTTTTCCCTTCACCCAGCAGCTTCCCCTGGGTTTTGCACAGGGTCTTCCAAGCCTGCACCCTTGCTCTGTGGCTCCTGCAAGAGGGTCCTGTTCATCTGTAGCCCCCTGTGCCCACAAAATTTGAGGTCTCCCCCTTAGAAATGATCTCCCTCACCTCAGCAGGACTGGTCGTCCAAGGCCCCCCACAGCAGGATCGAGTGCACCAGCTTGTTCTCGGCCTTGGCTCGGTCGAAGGCCTCAACGAATGGCAGGTAGGTGACCTGAGCAGACAGAGCTTAGCTACCGTGTGTGGCCGGGGTCCTCTTTACGGGCTGAGTATAGATGGGTGTACATATGAGGCTGTGTACGTGCATGCATGCAGGTGTGTGTCTGTGTGACAAGTGTGGCTGAACCAGGCACCTCCGCTGCAGTCACAGTGGCACAGGGGCAGCACCCGTGGCCCAGCCAACCCCCCACACACCTACAGCTACTGCAGTGCTCTCAGCCTCCACTGCAGAGCCTAATCCCAGCCTCCCCAGCCTGGCCTCACCTTCTTGAAGGGGTACATGGCCACCTCCAGGCGCCGGGCAGCCTCCTCCCAGCTCAGTTCCTGCTGCCACCTGATCTCCTCAAACACAAACTGGAGGGGCTCCCCTGAGGGCAGGCGACTGTCAATCAGATTGCCATCCTCGTCCAGGATCACGGAGGGCACAGAAGGGCCTGTGGCCTCCAGCTCCATCTGGGCCAGATGTCAGTGGTGAGGGGCTCCGCGAGACCCTGAAGGATGCGCCCTTCATCGGGGAGGTGGGGATACTGAGGCCCAGGGAAAGCTGGAGCCCGGGCAGGGTCCCCTGTGGGCTCACCTGGGGTATGTAGCCGATGTCCACTTCCATGCTGCTGGCCTCACTGGCCCCGTACAGCCACTCCATGTCCACATTCAGAGACCTGGGGAGGTCAGGCCAGAGCAGCATCATCCTCAAAGCCCACTGCCCATGTCAGCCTTCACTGTCCCACTTCACAGAGGAGGATACTGGAGCTCTGCACAGGGTCCAGCTGGGCCTTCCCAGGCTGCCCCATCCCGAGACACTACCACAGCCACTAGCCTAGCCTAGGACTGCTCCCTCATAGCATGTGTGCCCATGACCCTCTGGGGCACAGAGATGGTCAGTGCCTCCCTGCAGGAGACAGCGTAGGGCAAGAGTGAAAACCAGGCAACACACCCCTGCAAGGGCCACCCCACTCCCCTTTCCTCTCGCAGTCGGCCTCATTAGTGCAATATGCAGATTCGCCACATGGGGGCGCCCCAGGACCAGCTACCAGCCATGTGGGTTGCTGTGACGTGGTACAGGTGAACTGGGGTCCCTGACAGTGCTGGCTACCCCTGCAGCCCTGGAGCTGCTGCCTGGGCTGGCTGGCCATCTGCCCTTCTGTCTCACTTTCAACAACCCAGGCCAGCTGGCTGAGCCTCTAGCCAGAAGGCTGGAGTGGAACTGTGCTTCCTTTTCCTTTCCCCTTTGGCCCCGCACATCCCTGCCTCTCTGGGGAGAGAATGAGGCCACTCCCACTCCTAGGGTTGACTTGCTCTTCCCAGCTTATCCCAAACATCCCCTTGTTCCTGTCCCAGAGGTAAAACAGGCCAAGAGTCAGCCTCCTACTAGCAGATAAGAAAACTGAGGCCCAGTGAGGGCCAGGGCCTTGTTCAGCAGAATGGTGAGGGCCACACAGCACACCGGTGCCATAGCCACGACTTAACTAAGGGCCTCCCGGCTCTCAGCTGGGGTACAGACGTCACGCAGGCCTGCTAAGTGGACATTTGGTGTCAAATAGGAAGCTCTTAAGGCCAGGCCCCCTGGTCCACTGTTCTGCTGATAGATGACGACCCTGAGCAGGTGAGGCAGACAGGCAGGTAGCAGGTACAGTCCAGTCCCAGAACCCCTGCAAAGGCTCCTTGGAGGTGGAGGGTCTGCCCCAGGCCTTTGCATGTGCAGTTCCCTCTGCTGAAAATCCTTTCCTCCCCCAGGTCTCTGTGGAGATGTCATTTCCTCTGAGAAGCCTTCCTGGACCCCCACCGGCCCGGCTCACCTGCTGTTTTCCCCAATAGCATGAGCAAGCTGCAGTTTTGGGTTTGCCTGGGCCCATGAGCATAGCAAGGTGGGAGGCATCAGCTTTAAGGAGGGTTTTCTGGCTGCTGCCCTGGGCCCCTGCACAGAGGTGGAGGGCCAGGCCCAGTGGGTGCCCAGAAAAATGCTTGTTGTGTGATGGTATGACCCCCTCAGCCCACCTCTCCTCTCCTCCTGGGCAGTGCCAGGCTGGCTCTGGGGAGCAAGGGAAGGGGTAGGGACTAAAGGGTCTGAAGGGCTCTGGGCCCCCCTGCTTGTAAGCTCCTGCAGCTGGGATATGAAAAGCTGCAGCAGGGGACTGCGCTCGGCCAGGGCAGGCTCCCACCTGTGATTGGGCACGAAGAGTCGGAAGTCACGGATGTGGGTAGCATCTCTGGACAGGATGATGTGGCCGGTGAACTGGCCCGGAGAGAACCAGAAGGGGAAGTCAGGGGGCTCACTGAGCTGGAACTCAGCATGGATCCTGTGGAAAATAGAGTCAGTTAAGCCAAAGCCCTCATCCCCGTCCCCAGCCTGGCCACACTGCTGTGGAGAAGACAGGACAGGAATGAGGATGGAGGGGCATGAGGGCAGGGAGAAGGTGTAGCCCCTCCAAGAGCAGCCATGTTTAGGGATCAGCTGCCATGCTGTCTCTTGACCCACCCGATCTCCTACAGCTTCTCCAGGCCACCAGCCCCAGGCTAAGCAAGTTCCAGACATTTTTCACCAAACCCTCACATACCCTGATGCACAAAGGAGGGACCAGAGGCTCACAGCTGGAGGCACAGGGTGGGAGTGGTGGAGCTGGGGGCTTTAGGCAGAACCTGCCCTGCCTGTGCTACACTTCCCAAGCTGTCTTGAAGTCCCTGACCACTACACAGACCACTCACCGGAACATCACAGTGTAGTAGGAGTCACTGATGGCAGTCAGGCAGGCCACAGCCCCCTGAGGGGCAAAGCGGGTCTTCACAAAGGGCCGAGGGTGGAACATACTCAGGAGCCGGTGGATGATGACCTGGGGCACACAGTGGGTACACAGATACCTGGCTAGGCCCTCTGGGCCTGAACTGGCTGGGTGAGGTCTGCCTTGGACCTGAAGGCCCAGGATCTCTGGGGAACTACAGGAAAGGCCCAGAGGGAGGCAGGAGAGCAGGCAGGCACTGGGGTCCATGAGCAGATGGGAGGGGGCTACTTTGGTCTGGTCTGGCTGCCCTTACCTCCTTTCCCTTGGGTGGTGGTGGGTAGAAGCGGTTGTTGGACAAGTAGCCGGTGAACACACTCAGCTCACCCGGGATGATCCACCAAGGCTCTCCCAGCTCCTGGCCCCGAGGTGGGAGGAAGGGCTGGAAGTGGCGGGCAGCAAACACTGCGCTCGGTGAAGCTGCAGTTGTCCAGTTGCGGAGGCCAGACAGCGCAAGGCGGGAGACCTGGGGCAGGGGAAAGCCCAGGCTCTGGGGCACTGAGGACCATGGCTCTGGGGTGCCTATTCCATCTGGGATGCAGTTCTCCCTCAAGACTTAAGCCAGACTACAGGCCAACAGAGTAAGGAGAACCGAGGAGGTTCCTGTCCTGGTGACGGCTGTCAGTGTGGTCCTGTCCCGACAGAGAGAGGTTCACCTCACCCTCCTAGGCCCCAGCAGCAGAAGTAATAGCCCATGGCCTACCCAGGCCCGGCCCCTGGTCAAAGCGGGGGAGCTGTGAGAGCTGGAGGGGCTGCCCAGGACGGGAGGACAGGGTTGATAAAGCTCGGGTCCCACACAGATCCCATCGCCTTCCCCTTCATAGAGCAAGCCCAGCTGCCAGCACCTGCTCTAGGCCATCTTGCTCCTCCACAGACCCAGGAGCCAACATCGCACTGACAGAATTTGTGTTTGGGGCCGGGGATTTTAGCTCAGGGATTCCGCTGCCTGCCTCGCAAGTACAAGGTCCTGAGTTCGATCCCCAGTACCAAAAAATCAAAACAAAACAACAAAAAAGAATTTGTGTTTGGTGCTGAGTATGATGGTCGAAGTGGGTAAGCATCTTATGGGTAAAATCTCGAGTCAAAAGCAGGATAAGACCACAGGGAAAGGGAAGGAGGTCGCCCCCAGAAGGGGCCCTGCCTCGAGTGTCACCCGTCCCATCCTGGGCTGGGCACCTTGCAGCAAGGCCTAAGCTCATTTCCTCTGAGCTCATGGTGTGAGGGAAGCAGGCTGAGGAACCGCAGGGCTGGCTGCACAGCACCTGGCACCCAGAGAAGGAACCCTTGAACAGAAGGGCCCCTTGTAATAATCCTACCATGCGTAGCGCCTCCCTGTCCCCATGGTCAGCCAGCAGGTCAGTGAGTGCCTGGCACCCTCGGGAGCTCAGCCCCTAGGGAGCTGCCCCTTCTTTGATGAGTAGTAAGTCCCTCTCCTTTTGCATCTCCACAGCGGCGGGAGCCAGGCTCAGTGTGGGCGGTGGGAGGAAGGAGGGAGCCAACAGGCAGGCCTGCAAAGCAGGGCTGGAACTGTCATGGGCCGGCCAGCCCCAGGGGAGCTGCCAGAGAGGGTGCTGCCTGCCCTTGTCCCATCTCCTCTGGGAGTGCAGGTGTGGCCCAGGTGCGTGTCCCACCGCTTCTCACGACTCCGTCAGGGCTCATCTACTAGCAAGGCCCAGGGCACCAAGTCCACCTCCACCCCAGATCTTTCTGTGGAAAGTCAAACCTGAGCTTCCAACAATTGCTCTCTCCCCCATGCCCTGGCATCTCAACCTCAGTGTGTCCGAAGCGGTGTCACCCCCTCCCCATCAGACATACTCCTCTCCTACAGTTCCCATCTGGGCCAGAGGCCACCGTGCACTGGTCACCCGCAGGCAGCCTGAGGCCCCCTTCCCCTCCTCTCCATCAATAGTCACACCCTGCCCTTCCTTTCCCAGCACCCTCCGGGCTGTGCTTCCTGTGCCCCAGGCCCCTCCCACTCTGGGAACTGGTCTGCTTGCTCCTGTCTCTCCCTGAGCTACCCATGTCCTGTCCCCATGCCTGTGCCAGCCTGGAGAGCACAAATCTGATGTGGGGACTCTTCTTTCAAAGTCTGCTGGGGCGTTCTGCAGCTGCAGAGTAAGCTGAAGTCAGCCACCAGACCCGCGGCCATCCAGCAATTTTTCTTGCAGCCCCATTGACCAGAACGGCCCCGCACGTGCCCTGGGTCCAGCCCCACCAGCCCCCTGGCCTTGGCCCTTTGGCCTGCCATGTCTGCCTTCAGGCTTCTGCTCGTGCTGAAGGAGCATTCAGCTGTGTTGGGGTGGAGTGGACACAGAAAAAAGTCATCCGTGGCCGAGGAAACACAACGAGAAGGCTCACAGCATCTGAGGAAGCCCAGAGACGTGTGGAAGGAAGGCTGGTCGGCATGAAGGAAGCTGAGTGGTAGGAGAGAGGGTACAGGGTGGGCAGGGGCAGGGGTGGTGGCTTGGGCCCTGAGGTGTTCGCAGACCACATCCACAGGGCCTGGCAGGGGGCTGGTAATGCTAATCCATCTCTTCTGCTTCTTCTACCTCCTCCTCCTCCTCCTCCTCAGCCTTCTCCCCCTGGCAGGGGGCTGAACCTCACTAGTTCTAGTTTACTAGAATTCAGCAGAGCACCTGCCAGGTGCCAGGCACCTGCTAGAGACCTGGGGAGAGGCTGGCGTGCAGTCGTCATGTAAGTGAGGCAGCTGCATTACCCTAACCCTCCCCTGTGATCCCGGAAGCCGGCCTGGAGGAGGGGCACACGCTTCTCCCCAGTCCCCCACTGGACTGTGGACCTGCACAACAGGGATTCACCACACTCTTGGACTCCAGGACCCGGCACAGCGGCACGCAGAGGACAGCTGGCAGGGGAAGGTCAGAGGAAGTGAACACAGACCCACCCTTGTGATGGAGCACACCAGGGGATCCTACTGTGTGCCTGTGGGCCACCCCTGCCCCCACTCACCCCTAGGAAGCCATCTTTGCTCTTCGTCATGGTCTCAGGAACAAGAGGCTGGAATCGGGCTTCTATGGTGAGGGTCTCTTCACTGGGGTCGGGGGGCAGCTCCTCCTCCTCATAGCTGGCTGCAGGTGTTGACCCTGTGAGATACAGACGGCTGCAGAGGCCCTGCCCTTGGGCCGCAAGTCCTCACTTTCCTCAGGATGTCCTCACTGGCCGGTGGTGGAGGGAGCCAGGCTCAGAGCGGGGTAACAGTTAACGATCACAGAATAATAACTAGCACGTGTAGCATTATAGTTACACGATAGCCCCGGGAGGCAGGTAATAACATTGTTACTAACACTGTTTTACACGTGAGAAAGTGGAGGTTCAGTCACTTCCTCAGGGTCACGCAGCTAGGTAGTGGGAGGGAGAATCAGCATCGAAATCCAGGCCTGATTTGCTCTCAACCTCCAATCAGTCCTGACTTCTTCTGGGTCTTGGAGGACCATGGGGGCGGGACTCAGTCAAGGGAAGCAGAAAGAGAATCAGGTGTCTCTGGTTTCACTGAAAGGGCACTGGTGTGGGGTGATGAGACCTGCTCTCCTTGTTCTCCTGGGTGGCCGGGCTCCCTACTGTAGAAGGAGGGCTGGGCTGGCAATGGCAGAACTTGATTTCTCAGGTGTCCTGCTCAGGGAGCTGCCAAGTGTGTCATCTTTCTAGAGTGGAGGGTGTCATCGCAAGGCTTAAGGGAGAAAGGGAGAAAGGCCCATTTCAAAAGGGATGACTAAGAAACACCTGTTACAGTGAAGCACATGGGGCTCGTCCTATGTGTTTTCCCAGGGCAGATTTAAGCCACGGAGCCCTGCCTGGCACTTGGTGGCCCTGGTGACCAGCTGGCAGGCTATATGGGTGCAGGCTGAATGAGTGCATTCAAAGTAGCTCTCGATTAGGAGTCATCTGAAGTACCCAGGATGCTCCTCAAATGCAAATGGACTGATCCCATTTGAGAGAATCTACTGGGTCAGAACCTGAAGGGGCAGAATCAGAAAACTGCCCAGCTACTCTGGATGAGAATCCCTGTTCTAAAACTCGCTATTATTATGTATTTATAAGTCAGTGCAGTCAAACATCCTCAGTGATCTGGAAACTTTAGCAGAAGAGGGCAGTAAGAAAATGCAGGGTTATTAGTCTGCCTTGTTTTTCAGTTATTTTACTAGTACCACAGATAATTAGAAGAATAACACTCAGGTTAGCCAGGTACAGTGCAGCACGCGCCTATAGTCCCAACTACTTGGGAGGCCGTGGCAGGAGGATCACTTGAGCTCAGGACATTCAGGCCAGTCTGGGCAACATAATGAGAACTCATTTCTTTAAAAAAAAAATCTGGGGATATAACTCAGCAGTAGAGCATTTGCCTACCATGCACATGGCCCAGGGTTCCATCTCCAGCACTGTAAAAACAACAAAAAGAACGCCAGCCTTTTCTACCCTCTTGGTTTTTTTAAATAAAAATGTTATCATCTGAATTATAAGTAACATCTATATCACTATAGCTTATTCTTAAGAATCTCAAAAGTATAAAGCAGAACATTAACACATGCATAACTGTACTAACTAGAGAGAACTATTTGCCTCTACTTATGCTTGATTTTACTTGTTTGCTTGTTTTTTGCCCTCTGATTACCCAAAAGATGGTCCATTCTTTGCATTCACAGACGAGAGGCAGTGGAAGGATTCTTTTCTCCTGATGAGATTTAGATGAAAACATTAGAAGTGTCCTAAGCCCACAGACTTTGCTAACATGGCATTATGAGGGAACGCTGGCTCCCTGGTCACAGAAAAGGACAGGAGGTGGCTGTGCAGATGCTCAGAGACGCACACACAGAGTGAGAGATAAAAGTAAAGCCAGAGGGTGTGACCCTTCAGCTGCCCGTCTGCTCTCATGACAGAACTGCTGCCCTGAAACACACTGATACACAGCCGCTTTGGCAAATCTGCATGCTCGCCTGACTTTCCTCATCCAGTGACACAGGCCGCTAAGCCAGCAAGTGGGGGGAGTGGGTCTCCTGCCCATCCCCCAAACACAGAAAGCCCACTTGGTTCTCTGGTGCCCGCGTGTCTCTCCTACCTGTCCCATACTGACTTCCGCCAGGCAAGCTGGATAATCACTGTGTGCCAAGATCGTGTTTCACAGAGGTCACAAGAGGTTGGATGGAAATGGACACAGCACTCCTCCACTGCAGGCTGCCCTTTCCACGCAGACACCTTCCCCCGGTCCCCAGCCTCTCTGGTACCTGTCAGCTTCTCCGCGATGGGTTTGAACTCCTCGGGGCTGAGACGCATATCCTGGTCAGTGTCCAGTGAGGAGAAGAGAAAGAGGCCTTCTGTCCCCAAGACCTTCAGTGCTGATTCCTGCTGGAGAGGCAGGAGCTGGGCTGAGTTCCCTTTAGGTGCTCAACCTCTCTGTCCCAAACAGGCAGATGCTTCCTGATGCAGCAGCTCCTGCTACCCTTTGAGTTCTCGCCATACTTTCCCATTCTTTTGTCCAAATGTCACTTCTGAATGGTCTCAGGGCCCCTATCCCCTTCCAGTTACACCTGTTCTCTGCTCCATTCTGAGCCTTCACGGACGGTCTATTCTCCAGGTCCCCCTCGAAGTCTGTCCCATTCTCCGTCCGGGTCCTGCTTCACCCAGGCCTTGGCACGGTCCGCTCCCGCCTCCTCTCTCCAGGTTCCTGCCCTCCCAGTCCCCCACCCGGCTCTCCAGTCCCAGTCTCGCTCTGCCTTTGTCTGGGGCCCTGTCCAAGGCCCTTCCAGTCTGAGCATCCCCGACTCGCTCCGGCCACTCCTCTCTCCTCCTCGCTATCTGCCCAGCGCCCCTCGCTTCCCTCTGCCCATGCCTGCGTCCCCGACCTGCTGAGCGGCCGCCTGGGCCTTGGCGAGGTAGGTGTGGACCTGGGCGGCGACGGCGACG